AGAGAGAGAGAGAGAGAGAGAGAGAGAGAGAGAGAGAGAGAGAAAGAGATACAAGAGGTTACCAAGAAAAGCTCATTCGCTCATTCTCTCCGGAGAATAAAAATTTCGCAATAAACTCGAAACAATAAAAGCACAAAAAATCGTAACCCTGCGGTCATGAGAGGTTTAAAATTCAGCACCATCCTGCTTTTTAACTTTTTACCTGACGCGAAGTCAGACTAAACCGCTATATCCACGGAACTCCACCTCTCGCAATAACATTTTTTTGCAAGATCCGCGCTCGTTCGCTTTTCTCGGACGTTTCGCGCCAGCGTTTTCGCGCTGTCGTATCTGTCGGCTGGTTCGTACGAAATGACGAGAGAGAGAGAGAGAGAGAGAGAGAGAGAAAGAGAGAGGCAGAAAAAGCGCTTCGCGCTAGCAATAAATAATAACGGATGTCGCCGGTCAATATGCCTCGTGAACGTTACTGCCGCCGCTGCCGCTGCCCTGCCCCTCGTTTGCAGCCCCAGTTTGCGCGAAATAGCCGTGTGCCGTCAGCAGAACGTAATAATGGCTCTGCACTTTATGCCGTCGTATCTTACGTCTTGTCTCTCGTACTTACACCCAAGTGGAACAAAATCACGATGACGTATCGAAACGACCGGGAAAATGGTCGAATCGTGATTGAAAAGTGAGTACTTTAGTCATTTTCTCGTCACTTTGACATCACTTTGACGTCATCGTGATTTTTTTCTTCTATCCGAGCGGTTTCTTTGCGTGTAGATCGTGCGTACCTAATCCACTACTACAAATTCGGCTCATTCGAGTCGAGCAGCGCCAAATATTTACGAGAACAGGGCGACTCTCTTCTAACTCTCTCTCTCTCTCTCTCTCTCTCTCTCTCTCTCTCTCTGCACAGTGCGAATTCGTGATTTCGGACAATCAACGAGCGTGCGTATTGTTCTTCGGTCAACTTGTCCTTTTCGCACTCTAAAACACCATGCTCGGCCGTTTCTTTCTATTATTCTTGTTAATTCGTGTCGATAGGTAGAAGAGTGGTCCATGTCTCTGATAGGAAAATTCAAATCGCGTGTAAATTTAATTCAAACAACGAGACGCCTCCGCCGATGTGGATGGTGTTTTTGTTAAAAGAAGCGAGGGATGGTGCGAGAGAGAATTAGCTCGATTGTGCTGCTCTCTACGTGCGATATCGGGTTTTCAAAGAGCATGTTGTTGTGTTGTTTTATCACTGCTTGTATCTCCGTAATTCGCAACTCTTGCGCGACATAGATCGAGAAGGAATAGAAGGAATTTGTAACATAAGTTTCGCCATTCAACACTACTCAACGTAAAAAATGTGTATTATGTTAATTTGGCAATACCATTCGCCGATTAATAGGTGTTCCTTGATGTTCCTTGGAAATTATTCCAAGATATTTTCTAAAAAATCACAGGCAACGTCCGAACAAGTACAAACACATGCTTACGCCACGGCAGTTAAGCCGTGTTTAGAACTTGCTGGCTAGCAAATATTGGAAAAAACGCAACAACAGTTGATATGCGATGAATATCGATAGATATCAATATAGATATAGTTGATATAGTCACCAAATATTCACTTCACTAACTAGGAAATGTTAAAAGTTATCAAATATTTCGCAAGATTTAATAATTTTATAACACTTATCCTAAGTATCTTGAATAGAGCCTGAATAGTCATCAGATACTTGACCTGAATAGTCATCAAATACTTGATAACACAAGTGTCAAATATTTGATAAATATTACTAAAATCTTTGATTTACTTGATTGTTACTAAGAGTCCTTCATACATCAAATCTACTATGTATTTGGTTATTATGTATTATTACCATATATGGTACATATTAGTTACCAAATATGTTTACTGAAGTTCTGTTTCTAAACACATTTGATAATAATTACCAATTTTTTTTCGTATCGATTACCAACGCTCAAGCAAAGTGTCTCACGCGTATTTCGCGCAAAGTCGTCGCGTTGACGAGTCGGTAATTATTGACTTTCCTCCGTGAATATTCAACGGGTTTACATTGCAGTAACACGAGACTGTGTCAAGCATCGGGAGAAAATTTCGTACGTTCTCTATCTCCGCCTGGAGATTTGCAAAAATGTTAGACCATATTTTTCTCGCCACGGCATATCATTATCATCCGCATTAGACCCATGACTCCGGGTACTAACGGGGAGCATTTTTTCCCGGAACACGATAAATTCCTGTCTACTCCCCTTTCTCATTATCCCGTTCTGTCGTCCGCTAGTGCACTCGTCGATCAGATAAGGGGATACGTGTCCACTCCTGATCGGAAAATTCGAATCGCACGGCCTCGATCCGCTGTGGATTAAATTTAGAGAGGGGTAACGAGATGCCGTCCATCGCCTCTCGTTCGTCTGCTTTTTGGCTCTGCAGCGAGATCCAACACGAGGATGTAAATTCGCGTCGATTATGCCGCGAGTGATCTGAAAAATCCACGCCAGAAATCGGGAAATAATGTGTAATAGTAATTCCCTCGAATAGAGAATGCTTATTTGAACAATTTCACTTCATTTATTTGAGCTTTTAATAGAGAATAATTTTACAGCATCTCGCAAAGATCGTGTTTATCGCGAGGTACAAATTCTCACCTTTTTATCTTCTCCGTCGACGTGTGTTCAGTAACGAGACACTTTCCGAATGTAAAACTATGCGATTTGCAGGAAATACTACCGCGAAATCCCGAGTAAATTTCCCAGCGAAAATCTTTATGCGAAATAGAGAACACGTTCCTACACGTTGCTGTTTGATTTTTGCGAAAGTGGAGAGCGTTTTGAAAATAATTATGGCGTATTTAACCAGGGACATACCAGCTTAGCAGGTTTGTTATGGCGCAATTTATCGGTAATAAACTGCAGCGATGACAAAGTTCAGAATTTCAAACGAGCTATGACAGTGCAGTTAATAACATTAATTTTCCGTCGCACGAAATCCGCGCGCACTCTCCCGCTTCCGCTTATGCGTATTTGCCAACAGTAATTAAGCCGTAAGCATATTTCGCGTTTCCACGGAGTCACGCCGCAACGATTGCGACTATTTTCATGCGACAGGCCGCGTAATATAGCTCCAGTTGTTCCGTACAATTGGAGATAAAATGGATTAAATGGATTCAGTTACTGTCGCGAGGGGCGCAGTGTCCGACACCTCATTTTTTGAGTAGCGAAATGCGGGGAACGACTGAAAATTTCGCTTTTATATTTGTTTCGAATTTCGCGGTCCAATTCCAGCGCTTTTGCAATGTTCCGATTTTTTAAAATAATAGTTGATTCAGTTACCTTGGTGAAAACGTATACAATTTGCGTACATATCCGTCCAGTTACTGTGCGGAATTAATGCACGCATTCCCGTTAGTTGTAAAAATGCTGCACAGGAACTAGGTTAGAATTTGATAGAGTTTTATTCAGTGGTTGAAGCAGTTTATACTGTACGGTATTTGGACCGACTCTTTCCAAGACACAGTAATACTGATACAGAGAGGACAAGCAAGATTAGAAATGAAAGTGAGGTATATGTTAACAATATATCTGATGCGAGCACATCAGATTGGTCTGATGGTAATGATACAAATGAAAACTGTCATAGAGTAGGTCCAGACTCAGAATCTGATGAAATAACACAATTACAAGAATAAACAAAACGATACGTGTATTTTGATGGTCGTGGGAGATGTCAAGTAAAAGGCGAAAAGGATGAAAATATGTATCACACATTAGAGATTTTCTGTGCTGTGACTTTGATTAGCATTAAAACGTCTCGATTTGGAAGCATGCATGAAAAATGAAATACCTCTAAGACAAGCCTACCCATTTTACAAGCGGCAGACTTGATTATTAATCGATTGAATAGTTTTCTATTCATTTTTTGCTTTGTTTTCTTTCAGTAAGTGAGTTCAGATTTCGTATATTTAATGCAAAAAGAGCGTTAATCTTTTGATTGAAACCCCAAGTAGTTTTATCCTTCAGTTACTGCACAAAAGTTAGCATAAGTGTCCAATAACTGCTCGAAAGTTGCATTTAGATTTTGATTTACAATCTGCGTCATGCAATTTGTTTCTGAAGCGCAACAAGGCACCTAAAATCTGTCACAAATGAGAAGAATTCTCTAAAAATTATTACTGAAAGTTTCTGGTACGAAATCGTTGCGCGCCGCGCGGTTTATGAAACCCTTGATCAATAGCTGGAAGGTCTCATTTCGATAATACCCTCGACAAGAATTTGATCCGAGGGATATCGAGGAGTGAAAATCGCGTTGCTATTTAAAGATCATTCGAAAGTGTCTCGACACTTAAAGAAACCTGACACCTGAGTTGTCGTAATTGATAGCGGATTAGAATTCCGAATTCCGAATGATTCGGATGTGTGAAATGGAATTAATCAATTTATTTAAATGGAGAGCACGACGAGGCTACGTGACAAAAAAATTCTACAAATACGCGGACACATTTAGAAGGGAACGACGCCGAGGAATCCTGGAAAACGATAGAATAAGAATGAAAGAAACGCATACCATGGCGGATGAATGCCCGAGAAGAGAGAGGGGGAGAGAGAGAGAGAGAGAGAGAGAGAGAGAGAGAGAGAGAGAGAGATGGAGATGGAGGATAGATACAGTCACGTTATTAATTAAGCAGCTCAAGCCTGTTGCGGGAGATGAATACTTGATTGGAGCAGTCCGTCCTATCTCCTTCCGCTTTCTCTCCGTGAATAAGAAATGTTAAAGAAGCCCATAAATTTGCGTGATCTTTCACGAAAGAGTGTCCACTTTCGGAATAAAAAATCTTATACCTCCGCCCTAACCGTGGGAATAAATTAAAAGTTTTGCGTTTGTTATTTCTCTCAGAGGATGCGTTCACGAGAAACACAGTTGTGACACAGTTTTTCATTTGTTTTGCACAGAGACATTAGTTAAAAAAATATTATTATTAAATAAAACATATAACATATACTATATGTATATATGTATATATATGTATGTATATATATATGTATATATATAGATAATAATATATGTATATATATATTTATACATATAACTTTGACGAGACATTTTTGTTCCTGCAAATTCTCGACATTCTAGTTAATTGTGCGAGAGCTAATATTTATTTAAGTGTGGTAATGTACGGATATTATATTATTAAAATATCTATTGCATAATTTTTGTTACAATATCCCATCTCGATATACACTCGTGATACACGGTGTTACATACGCATAAGTAAATCTTCATCTGTATTACCGTTTCAATATTTTTTTAATCACGTAGAGGTAGCTACGTGTAATCTATTTCTGCGAAAAATCAACACTAGAGCTCTCAACATCTTGTCGTAAAAGATATATCAAACTGGCGATTTAGTCGACGATCGAGTTTTAATTTTTCTAAGTTTTTCATTACAGTAAAATCGCTGCGCGACGGACAATCAACTTGTTCATCTGCGGATGGAGGTTATTTAAAGTGATTACTTCCATGAATAATTATTTTTTTCACAATGTTCTGGGAACGCAGGCGAGCTGACTACGCGGTGTAATCGGGAAATGGGATTTATCTATTCGCTTAACTTGTTTTATAATTATTCTACATTGTGTTTGCGTAATATCGTTGTTTCCTCAAAGGTATCTCTATTACATGGCGCATAGATATAGCGAAGCTTTAGGAAAGCACGAGGAGAGAGAAATTATACGGAGATGTTCCCTTCGCTAAGGTTCTGCTTTATTAAAGGTGAAACTTCCAGGAACTTCGAGATTATTTAATTAAGTATTCGTAATGGAAAAGCAGTCATTCGTGAAGCACGGGATATTGAACCTGCTCGTATTGTATATGAATTATTATTGTAGCTGTAACAGATATTCTTAAATAGATGGCTCTCTTTAACTCATTCCCTGGGAAGCCGCCGAACCGCGCTTTTGACGTAATTTATTTTCAAAAGATATTGCCAGGCTTCAAGCCCGGGAAATTTATTCATGTTCGCGCTATACGAAATCTCGCAAATTTATTGGAGATTTATTAACGGTGCACTTCCCATTTGTTTACTCGCGTTATATTTGCTACGATTCAGCGACCATAGTACAAATTTGTCGGGGCAAAATTTTCTGATTTATTTACATTAACAACAATATATTTTAGGGCGTTCAGTGGCTCGCGGAAATTATTCTCGAAACTATTGAATCCTCTCCCGATGACATCCGGGTCAGTGGTGTAAGGGTGTTAATACGGTATACCTCGTACAGAAAAAACTGATTGTTGTGACTGACTTGATAGAGACAATCTTCCTCGAGGTTTTTATGCACGCGACGAACTTATAAATAAATCGTATATTTTCTCCTGTAAAAGTTTCCTTCTGTGTTCTAAGGAGAAACATTTTGCGATTTCGCTTCCCACTGTTTCTCTCTCGCGATAAATGGACAAACAAAGCACCACACCGACATGGCCGACAACCCCTTGGGTCAGCTAGAACCGCTGGTCTTCGCCGGCTATATAACTGCTCGGGGCCACGTAAGACAACGCGCATCTCTTATCTCAACGAAAGGTTGAGCACCACACACCGCGCTCATTCATTATCATTACTTATCCGCGTCGCGCGATGAGCAATATCGCGAATTAGAAGTAACAGCGCGCCGCGCCGTAAAAACTCTCTCGCGCACCAGCCTCGCGGAGAGAGAGAGAGAGAGAGAGAGAGAGAGAGAGAGCTGCGGGAAGATGTGCCGCGCCATAAACGCGGGCGCCCTCTGCCACTCGCTCGCTCGCTCGCGCGCAAACGGGAGCTGGAAGCGGGCCGCATAAAATCGCATTATCCCGAAGGCGCTATTCCTGCTCCCACGGGGTTATACCCCGTTTCACGAATTTTTCCGCGTCCGTGCGCCCGCGCCGGTTTTCGAAGCGCTCTTCCCAGATCGCAAAATATTCAGGGAGTTATGTGTGTCTTTCGCCTCGGTGGGTAGACCGGCCATGAAATCCCACCGGCAGGAATTCCCTTAACACGTTTCGAGGGTGAAAACGAGGCGCTTTGGGAGGAGGGTGGTAGCAGGAGCTTGCAGGCTCGCGCTCACGAGCGGCTGCGGCGTGAGGCAATAAACGCCGTCACTATCTAGCATCCCCGGAATGTTATATAAAAGCTCATAAATAAAATTCTCGTACGCTCCAAGAGGCAGCGCGAGAGGCGCGCGGCCTGGCGCGACGGAGGTTTTTTCTTAATTGTTTTTACCCCTCTATATCGGACGGAAGGCGCCTGGAACCGACGTCGTGGAAGCTTCGAATCTTCCGGCGGGCGCGTACCATACGTTTCGCGAAGACTTAAACGACGTACAGTGCACACGCACCGAGACGTTCCCAGACACAGGGCGTACGCGTGTGCGTACGTGTAGATGCGCGTAATACTTTCGCGGCTCGGTGAGCGCGCAGGCACGCTAGTTGTATCGATAATAGCGTATCGTTGCGCCGCAACGCGCCCAAGAGAGACAGAGATGCCTTCGCCCCGTTGCTTTACGAGGCAATTTTTGAACCGCGGCTGACGGAATGCTTCACATTCAACAGCGACTGTGTGCTCCGCGTCGATATCGCTCGGGAGAAGCGCTTTCGACGAAGGATGTTCTTTGTTTCTTAAAACGTCAATGACAAGACTCGACTAATAATGAGTATTCCTCGATTACTAAATTCTATAGTAATTTTTACTATAAAATTCTCGTTCTGTAGTCAAAAAAACACATTCTCGCTGATAATATAGTATATCGCTTATATTATATATATTTTCAAAAAAATATCAATTGACAGAACATATATGATGGATCAAGCGTTTATAAAGTAAGGCAGGAAACGCGCGCACCTACTGAAGGATTAATAAAATGAGTTTTTCAGAATAATGGCTGAGTGTTTAATTAAACTTGTCGAATGATATTTCTGGTGAATTGAAATTTTCCAAGCTGAAACTTTCTATTTAACTTCAATATCGGATAATTGCAAATGAAAGAAATGTTCTTTTTCCAACGAACAATTAACCTCATAGTCGCAAGAATTGTTGGGAATTAAAGAATGCGTCTTGGAAAGAAAGTTCGGCCCTAGAACAAACATCCCTTGGATCTCGCATGGCCAGACATCATTGCGTCGATTCAATTTGATATCAAGTACTCGCCTCTGATAAGTCGGTCATAATGAACACGTTGACCACCGTAAGGCACATGGGGTTGTAAACGAAAAGAGATAAGGGTCTCGCGTGTGTCTCGCGATTATTACTTTAATTCCTACCCTTCCCTCGCGATTATTTTAATTCCTTCCCCTGTCTCAATGACTGACATTCTCGCACGAGGCGGCGAGGGTTGCATTCCGGTCACGTGACAATTGCTGCGCGACGCTAAATGCTCGGGCGAGGAATCATTTCTTCTCTACAAATTGCGCATTTACGACTTACCGTATTACGGAGTTTCTCACACGTAATCGTTCTCATTACGAGGCAGGGTACACGGGCATCGTGATTACTTTACACACGCTAACGCGTTCCTCGGAATACATAATGCTCGCAATCTGCTCGTTTCGCCTCGCGGAAACGACCTGGAAATGTCCCTCGTTATGTACGTGCATTTTGCGTAAAACCCAATTCGGCTTAGACGGCGGCTGTTCGTTTTTCTTACATTTTTATGGGCGTATTCGGACCGAAGATTGCGACTCGCGGGGCATTTACCGCTGGATATATCGCCGGTATCGTTGTGTATATCGATCTCGCTCGGCGGAGTGCCATCCGTTATTCGCTCCCGTTTGACCTTCCGTTCGTCCTGCAAAAAAGAAAACTCGAAAATAAGTGTACGGCAGCAGGGAAGTAGGAGAGAAGAGGAAGGAGTGTCGCGCGGGCTACTCACTAAACGGCGCCTAAAGCTCTGTCCGCAAGCTAAGTAACGAGCTTTGGGCCAAACTTTTTTTCCTGAACGGTTGCCAAGTGGCCGAGGGGTGTTTGCAAGGATGGGCGCTGGTGACGAGTAAAAAGGGCAAAGGCAAGGAAAAAACAAGAAAAAAGAAGAATCTGCCCCTCTCTCTCTCTCTCTCGCGTGAGCATTTTCACCCTCCGGCCAGCTTCTCTGTTCCTAACTTTTTCCTTTCCTTCCCTCCTTTCCTTTTCTTCTTCTTGTATCCGTGACAAGCTCTCATTAAGCTCATTTGCCGTTCAATACTGAGTTTCCTTCAGTAAAGACGTTTCCCGGGAAATGCAAACACAACACGTCAACGCGTCTCGACATCACCTCGGGATTTTTTCGGACGCGCGCGCACGCTTCCGGAAAATTCGCGCACTCACGTTACCGCTGGGCGAGATTTCGTAACGGCATTTTCATAATTAATTAAGACGCCGTTACATGTAATTAGGCGAGCCGAGAGTAGCTAAATGCAGTCGAGGCGGATAATGAGCTAAAGGCATAACTCTGAGCGATAAATACTGTTACCCACGTGGAATAATTTCCGAACACCGTAATTATTGGAATTATAATCATTAACACTTCATCGTTGGGATTATCATTAATTCCCCGATGTGCAGTTTTCATTGAAACCATTGGTAGTACGGCTTCGACGTCGAAATTGCGACTCAAATGGCGACACGGAAATCGATAAGGGCTGCGAACACACAGAAGATTTTCAGCAGTGAGACCTAAGCAGTAAGAAAATTGACTAACCGCCGTCGGTTACACGACGAAAACCATTACATTCTCTATGGTTAGAGAAAAATTCATATGAATTCAAGTTAAACAGTTGAGGCTATTTTATCAAAGCACTTGATTGTCAATAGGCTCGATGGCTGTTTACTGAGCCCTTTTTTCCAGTGTGTGTTCCCATTCTGTAACTTATTTCGCGTGCCACACGTTTAAAATTGAGAGCCACGTCCGAGTCGGTCGATCTGCCCGCCGACAAACAAACTGCCGCTTGACTTTCCGCGAGATTGTGCTTCTTTTGATCTTGACACGCATTAACTGCGTAAGCGCGGCCAGTCATTAACCGGTGTACTTAGGGACGGTCATGCACCGGCAATTCCTGAGCGTATTGCTAATAAAGGGTTAAGTGCCGCGGCATACGCTGATAACTGTAACCTGGAACATCGTAGCTCTAGCGAATCGCTTATAGCATTTCGGAGTATTGCACCGTATACCATCGCATTGGGCTGTGCATCGATGTACCGACTCTGTGTGCCCGCTCGGCACGCATGATTGGCTGGTTTTCGAATCGGCATGGATATACGCAAACCGTGTGCATCCAGCGTGCGCGATGCATCGTTGGTCCGCAACGGCGGAATATTCGGAAAATATATCGTGAAAGTACGCGAAAATATCAGGCGGATGTAATGACCGAAATTGCGTCACTCCTCGCGGAGGGGTTTCACCACGCGCCCTGAAAAAAAAAAGATTTTCTTGTCGAAACGAGCATTTCGCACCGTGATTTGGTCGAAATGGGGTCAACCAAATGTTTGGTAATTGCAAACTGAAAAATTTAATTGCCACTGTGTGTGTTTTGCTTCCTCAATGACAACCAATATGACGATCGCGTGCGGAGCGGAATCGCTGATGCTCGAAAAATGTGTACACGGAGGAAATTACTATAGTTGCTATATCCACATATTCTTTAGAGAGAAGATTAGAGAGAAAATTTATGTGATTTCAAGTGAAATGGAACATTGCTGTTATTACATATCCATCTGTACAGTTTCTCACAGCTTAGTTCTTATGATATATGACCGTAGTTATGTAAGAATGATCGAATTCACAAAATCATGATTTTTTATTTGTTGCTAACAGATTATACATTTGAATTCGCGGGATCGTTATTTAATTTATACGCGGGCATTGCGCGCATAGGATAGACTTGAATTGTCAATGGCGCATAAAACGCTAAACGCCTGCTGCGCGGGGCTTCTCGTGGAGAATTAGTAAGCTGCGCAGAATTACATGCGACTTGTCGTATACGACGTCGGTATAACGAGGCAATAGTCGAATTTTGGTGATATTACCGAGGCAAGTGACGACTAACGAGACACATTCATCAGCTCGCGAAGATACAAGGAACGAGTTTCGGGTCCTACGGTACGGTGCTTCAATTCACCCGGAATAACGCACTTCACCCTATCGGGCAAGCGCGCGCACATGTACATGTACATGCACAGCCGTACAATTTATACGACGTATATACCTGCGTCTAAAGGGTGCCCATAAAGTCTCCACCTATTCCGTCGAAATTATGCGGAAACGTGCCTTCGCGTGGCACTCGAGAGAGTCTAATTTTCGAACACGAACGCGTCAAATATATCTCCACTAAGTGACTCCATGTGTCCCACACGTGCGTGCACGTGTATTAGCAGAAATATATAAAATTGTGTGAAAAGCACACACGGAGAGAATTTTATGGTGAGAATTACTACAGAATTTTAGAAGAACTGATTGACATTCTGCAGCAGCCCTTTCGTTTTATATGTGCTTTTTGTATTTTGACTGAAATGTATTACTGAAAAATTTGCTGTACAAAGAAGAGAATTTGTGTGAAGTTTGCTTTCAATGAACGAATCATTTTGGTTGAAGCACACAGAATTCCTCTTCTTATGACCCAAATTTGGTTGTACAAAACGAGAAATTCCGTTTCTTCCAACTGACACACATTGGGTCGTTCATTGCAATTAAACTGTATGTTAATACAACCACACTATTTTTCCATGTATGTTTCTAATTTGCTATCAGTAATTACAATATAAAATAGAACAAAGCATTTAGGTAAAAATCAATAGTGATAATAAAGGATGGTATGAGCTAAATTGCAAATGTTTTGTGTTTATATTTAATTAACAAATATTAAGAATATAAAATTAAACGGCGGAATCTCGGCCATTTATTTCGAATATGATCACAACAAACGGTCGAAATATCTTCTCGATTAATTTTATATTTTTAATATTTGTTAATTGAATATAAACACAAAACATCTGCAATTTAGCTTTATCATCGTCCTTTATTAAAACTTGCTATGTTTCTACCGAAAAGTTTGCTATATTCCTCAGTGAGGTTTACTGACATATTTCTGCGCTACCAAAAACATAGTAAAATTGAAGAGAATTTAAATAAAACTACAATATTCTCCTCTCCATGTATGAAGAATTATGTTTAAAAATGTTTCAAGTTTTTTAAAACTGACTGTCAGTTCGCACTGACTGTGCGAAACCACTTCTCGTAACTCACGTAACATTCGTAGGTGAAATCTTTAAACTTCTATCTTCCAGCTAGTGATATTGACGGAGATTTTATAGGCACCGAATACTCGAGCTCTCGCGCAGCTGCGCGCAGTAACGGCCGATGGTTCCACCAATTGTGTCTGCGTGTCCATTTTCTCCCTTATTGTTGGCGGTCAATCTCCAGTACCGGGTTTTCCGGCGGCTTTCATACCCGTTCGAAAATGTGCCTGCATGTCTGGGTTATTACGGCTATTATTATTCATTTGGTTCACCTGCCCGTCGACATTCGCCCGTTTACTTTGCGAGCGATTTCGTCCGCTCGAGAAAAGATTGACGGAATTTTCCGATCCCCTTTACACTCGATGTAACATTCGATAGTGGGAGTGGCGTATTTTCCTACGCGATTCAGTTGCACGAACATCGTTCTAGTATGCAAAATTTGTCCCGACTTTATTTTAAACAAATAAAATATTTTTAAAAAATATGTGACTATTTTTATAACTTGGAATATTTGGCGTTAGTGCATCCACGCTTAAAACATGGTCCATATTGCTGTCACTATGTCAGAAATATGACTGCTATTTAATTAACATAATATGATATCAACTTTTTTTCTCTTGTCAAGTACTACAGGAACGATCCGATAGATTTTATACGACGACTGTGCGCCAAAACTGTTGCGTTACAATTTATTAACTTTAGAAATAAAAGGTACATTATCTGATCTAACATTTCTTTCTAAATAGATTCACAGTCACATTATTTTCTGTGAAACTCTCAAATTATTTCACGTGATATCCGTTTCAATCTTTTAATATTTTTTATTTTAAATTTATCATATCTTTTGTGATACTTTTAAGAAGGAATGCCAAAACGCATGGCGAAATAGGTCGATAATATCAAATTAGACGAACAAGTGAAAATAATAAAATTACTAATCAGTCACGAGGAATCGCGCGTGTTTGACAGTAGGTCGCGTAGTGCAGCTGCAACGTGCAGCGGGTTTTGTTACGAGCAAATTAATCATTCTTCTGCTACATGCTCTTTCTTATACTTCGCGGAAAGCTCCGTGTGCAATTCTCGCAGAAATAAAAGGCGCCTTATCGGCAATCCCCGGGCTTATTAAACGCGGTTGCGTTGCCCGCGAAAAATCAGGTACACCCTTTCACGCGGACACAATTACATTATGCCGGTCTCGTTCGCCTACGCCATCGTAAAAAGGAAGTATCGTGCAACCACCTGCTACGCGGCCTTTCCACAACAACTCCGCGGTTCCTTCCAACTCGCAGCGCTAACACCGACCGCGTCAGTGACGTAGCGTCGATTTAGCGCGCCCGCGGCCCTGACAGGCAGGTGCGTTTCGCGCTCGCAAATTACACACGTCTATCTCTATTCAGAAATCTGTGACAATTCTAGAATGGGTACGACAGGGGTGCGAACTCCCGAAGTCGCGGGGAGATGGGCGACGGCGGCAGCGGCGGCTGCGACGACGGTTGGCGCGGGTGAGGGCAACCCGAAAATCAATGCAACTGGCAACCGTATGCACCCTCGGCCCTTCTGCGCCGCTGTCGAACGCCA